CTTGACCCCGCCTGCCTGCCTGTGCCTGTCTGCCCAGGAGCACTGTCTGAACTTCGTGGTGAAGGAGTCCCACTTCAACCAGGTGATCATGATGAAGGAGTTCGAGCGCCTCTCCTCTCCACTGATCGTGGAGATTGTGCGGCGGAAGCAGCAGCCGCCCCCTCGTACTCCCTCAGACCAGCCGGTGGACATTGGTAGGAAGCCCCATTCCCCTTCCCTGGGGGCTGGGAGTGATGGTGTTCATCTGTGGCAGGAGACTTGGGAGGCATAGCACCTGCCAGGCCCTTGGGGTGGGTGCCATGGGACCCCAGAGTGCTCTCCTAGGTACAGGGCAGAAACAGATAGAGGCAGAAGCCCCTGACCCATGGGGTTTGCCACAGTGGGCTGTGTCCTGGTGAGCTGGAATTTCCTGAGCTGATTTCTGGGGGTGGACATGGGCACCTCTTTCGGGCTGGGATGTCAAGGTCTGATGGCCCAGAGTAAGAGTGATCAATCTCTGGACTTCTCTTTGCTTGTAATGTCACAGGGCCCCTTCATTCCCCCAGCTCTCCCTGGGGCCTGTGCTGACCCCAGTTGCTGGCTCTTGGTGACATCTGCAGACACCAGAAGCCATGCGGTGGGCCTGGAGGGGGATTGATCATGAGGGCAGCAAGGGGGCACAGCAGGCTGGGTGGAAGATGAGATGCTGCGGGGTGGACTGTGTGTGGGGTGCAGTGCTCGAGTCGGCCAGGGTGCCGAGGGAGGACAGAAATGTGGCTGATGGTGCCTCAGGGCCAGAGTGAAGCCTCCTGCCTGGGTGGAGTTTTGTTTAGGGAAGCAACATGGGCAGATGTGCAGGAAGGTAGTGCCGTGGGGCCTCAAGGCCAGAATCCCAGGCTGTATATGCTCAGGGTCCCTCCCACCCCCAGGCACATCTCTCATCCAGGACATGAAGGCATACCTAGAGGGGGCAGGTGCAGAGTTCTGTGACATCACATTGTTGCTGGATGGGCACCCACGGCCGGCCCACAAGGCCATCCTGGCCGCCCGCTCCAGGTGGGTAGGGCTGGATAGGAGGGGAGGGTGGGCCTGAATGGTGTCTTCATTTCACTGAGAGCCGGTGTCTTCCACTCGCTGTCTGCAGCTACTTTGAAGCCATGTTCCGGTCCTTCATGCCCGAGGATGGGCAGGTGAACATCTCCATCGGGGAGATGGTGCCCAGCAGGCAGGCCTTCGAGTCCATGCTGCGCTACATCTACTACGGTGAGGTCAACATGCCGCCTGAGGACTCGCTGCATCCTCGTGCCCCAGGGAACTCCCAGGTCCCCACTGATGGGTCCTAGCACCTGCCTTGGGCAGCTTTGAGGCCCGCTGTCCTGCCTGGGCTGGGTGATCTGGGCCCAGCACCTCCCTCCAGAAGATTTGCTGGTGCCTGAGACTGGGCCTGGTGCTCTCTGAAGCAGGTGGCAGCTGGCAGGGAGGGGTTTGCACCCAGGAGGAATCAGTGGGTTCCTGACCCTCACAATTGCTCAGAGGATGGGGTGGGTCATTGCTTTGTGTGACAGTTGAGCACAGATGTGGTGCTACTCCTCTTATGTCCCTTCAGTAGGGGTCTGAACAAGGGGGGTCAGGATGCCTGTTAGGCCTGCAAGGCCATGGAACAGCACTGCAGATGTGCAGACAGTATTTTTCTGGGGAGGGGATTTTTGGTTTTCTTTGGATCTTGAATGGGACCTCCGACCCACTAAGTAGTTCAGAATCCATTTAGAGAGCCCGCTGGTGTCTGGGCTGGATTGGAGCCTGGCCTCTGGTGAGCTTGGGACTCCAGCTGCGCGCCTCCCTGTCCTTCCCTGGGAGGGTGTGGGTGATGTGGGTGGACCAGCTTCTTTTGGTCAGCTCCTTAACCGCGCCCCAGCTACCTGTTTGCGGCCCCCTACTATTACGGCTTCTACAACAACCGGCTGCAAGCGTACTGCAAGCAAAACTTAGAGATGAACGTGACAGTGCAGAACGTGCTGCAGGTAGTCCCCCAGCCCCGTGCCCATGGCTGCAGCTGCTACTGAGCGGGGGTGAAAGGGGCAGCACCTCAAGGTCCCTGCCATTGCAGATCCTGGAGGCAGCTGACAAAACCCAGGCGCTGGACATGAAGCGGCACTGCCTACACATCATAGTACACCAGTTCACCAAGGTCAGGGCTCTCGCCTCCCCTTCAGGACTTGCTTCCCCTTGGCAGTGACCATGCCCGGGCAGGGAGGGGTGCCCAGGCTCTGTGGTCTCCTGCAGTTGTGGCCCCTGGGAGTGAGCGAAATAGAGTAGCTCACAACTGGCCACACTTAGCCCCGTCCTCGGGACCAGCCTGAGCCCTGAGCAGGGTGGGCCATAGAGGGCTGTGCTGCCCACCCTGGCCCTTATGTGATCTGGTGCCATCTCCTTCTGGCCTGGCTGCCTTGCAGGTCTCCAAGCTGCCCACGCTGCGGCTGCTGAGCCAGCAGCTGCTGCTGGATATCATAGACTCCCTGGCCTCCCACATCTCTGACAAGCAGTGCGCGGAGCTGGGCGCCGACATCTGAGACCCTGTGGCGCCTACCCAGCATGAAGAATTGCCATGCCTGCCTGCCCTGCCCACTGAGAAGACTGTACTGGCCACACACGTGCCTGTGGCAGAGTGGGTGCACCTGCCAGGCCAAGGGTCAGGGTGCCCAGAGCCTCCAAAGAGAGCTGAGGGGATTTGTAGCCCCTGATGCCTCAATTTACTGAGGACACAGGTCCCACAGGGAGCGGATGATGAAGCAGATCCCCTCCCCTACCGGCACCCTCTCCTGGTGTAGTGTGGGCGCAAGGTCACGGCTCAGTGATGGGAACACCAACCAGAAGTGGGAGAGATGGGCTTCCCACCCCGTGGAGCTTGGCCTGGCATCTGAAGCTTGGGCGTGTTGTGGACTCAGGCACTGGGGCCTGTCACCAAGGGCCCTTTAACATGCGGAAGGAGGCTTGGCAGAATTGCCCCTGCACCAGGGAATCTGTCTGGGCTACTCCTGCCCTGCCCACCCTCACTGAGATCCACGTAAGGGGCTCCTCCTCCCACCGGAACTTGAGTGGGGACCATATGTGGGTCTCATGTGATGAGGTGAATCCTGGAATGAAGGGCCCTGAGGTCAGCTCCCAGGTTGGCTGGGCTGGGCTGGGTCTGATTTTCACAGGGGCTGAAGGATCCCAGCCCACCTGTGTGCATGTCAGGGCTCAGGGCTGGGCTGAGAAGAAGCCAGCAAAGTCCCCCGTGTCCCTCACTGAGTATTCTGTCATAGATAAGCCTTCATTAAAGCCATAGCAGTGCTGCCTACCACATACACCTTGCTGACCTGGCCACCATCACTGGCCTCAGCCCCTCAGCCACGGACTGGCTGTGTGGCCCATGGCTTGGCAGACCCCCAGACGTAGGTTAGTTGGTCTTACCTGTCTCTAGCCATGCTAACTCCTTCCCCAACCTGGGGTGACACAGTCACACTGGGGAGAGGAGTTGTGGAGGCCTCCAAGCTGGCCCCTCCTGGGGGAATCCTGGAGTGGGCTCTTGCCCTGTCTTGCCCCTGTACTGTGCTCTTGGCTGCTGTGGATGGTGGGCTGCCCTCTTGCTCTAGTGAGGGCCACATGTGAGTCCACTCTGATGCTGGGGAACCAGTGTTCCTTTACTGGGAACAGGATTCCAGGACCCCTTATTTTGTCATGGCTGCCATGAAGCCACAGCTCACTTTGGGGAAGTGACCTCCTCTTCTCTGGCTTTAGAGCTCATTTTCCTCCTGCCTATGGCTGTGTACACGTGGATGGGGGGCCCTGAGTGGCAAGTTGCTTAGCTAACAGGAGAAATCAAGCCTGCAGCCTAGGAAGTGGCCTGGTACAAGATGAGCTGGGAAACAGGGCAGAGTAGGAGCAGGGGCAGAGGCTGAGCCAAAAGGCCCTGTGGAGAGGACAGAGAGGCCCAGGGCTGTGCCTGGGGAAGGTATGTCAACACGTGGACGTGGAGTGCAGGCCAGGGCAGCCAGCCAAGTATTGAGTCACTCAGTGGGGCCACAGAACCACCTACCCAGTTTCCACAAGATGTGGCTCCTGCCACTCCCACAGGGCAGCCTCCTCCAAACCCCGCCTGGAGGGGCCAGCCCAGAAGCCTCCTTGAACTAGTCTGCAAACCCTGCTCTATGCTGACCCTGTCACTGAACCCTCAATTATCTTTTCTAGACATGATGTGAATAAATGAAATTACATGCCAAGGGTCCTAAAAAGCAAATTTTACAAAATGTTTGTGGCAGTTTCTGGGACTAAAATGAATTCAGTTGTGCTCCTTGGCAGGGAGAGGCCAAACTCGCAGTGAGAATCATCCCACACATGGAGCTGTTTGAGAATCTCAGCTTTGACAAGGCCTTCCAGGTTTCTGGGAGTTGAAGGAAAAGGATGCCGAGACCAGGACCTGAGTGCTCGCCTACAAGTTCTAGCCACCTCTTCCCAGACTTCCAGGGACTGAAGAAATGTCACTTGTTGGGACTTCACTACTTGCTGATGTGCCCCAGGAGGCTGATCATTGTCATTGTCCATTTTTCAAATACAGAGCAGTGAAGGGAGCAGCAAGGGGGTTGCCCTGCTTACCCACCAGGCAGATGGGGCCTGTGGACAGAAGCCTGTCATGCACCTGTTTGAGAACTGAACCTGGACTGGGTTTTACGAGTGTTGTCAAAGGGGCTGGCTGGCTTAAGTTGGGGCTGTTTCAGATCCCGTGGAAAGGGTGCCTTGAACTGCCTTCCTGGCCCCTACTCACAACATCCTGTCCCTTCAGAAAGCCCTGTGGGGCCTGGAGCTGCACTGGCTGGCTGCTACCGGTCTATCAGTAGCTTTGAGGGGTGAAAGCCAGGCTCTCTGCTCTCCCTGGTGAAGAGCTTGGACTGAGCCCTCTGGGAGCTGCAGCCACTGTCTGGGGGCAGCAACCTTAGTACCCAGAGGGGCTCCAGTCCCCAGCTGAGCCAGACAGCAGGGCCTCCTTCTAGAATCCACTTTATTATGGCACCTGGAGGGTATGGTGGATTCTGAGGGAGAAGGAGGCTGCAGCCTTGCTGGGCAGCCCCTTGGTCAGTCCAGCGGCCCCTCAGGCCATACTGTTGCTCAGCTGCATGGCAAAGTCCTGCACATGCTCCTTCAGAGTCTGGCGGGCATCTGCCTGTGCCCGCTTCTCCCGTGCCCGCTCCTGCTGCAGCTTGGTCAGTCTCAGCCGTAGCCGCTGCTCCCGCCGCTTGCAGGCCTGCAGCTGGCGCTGGGCCTTGTCGAGGGCATCAAGAGCTGCCTCAGCTCGCCGCTTCCAGAGCAAGGCGCTGCCCACCTGGTAGCTGTGTTCATTCTGGATGTAGGCTCCGGCGGGTGGCGGCAGGCGCAGCATGTAGGCCGAGGGGGAGACTGGCCGTGGCTCGAGCGGGGAGGGCTGTGGCTCTGGTGAAGGCTGGGCACTGCAGCCTGCTTCATCTGCCTGGGCACCCAGGGGGCCCAGAAGGTCTGAAAAGGGGCTGCTAAGGCCAGGCTCCAGCCTCCCAGCTGGGGAGGCTGGCAAAGTGGCAGGTGCTGAGGCCTCTTCCACAGGAAAGCAGGTGACATCAACAGGTGGAGGTGGAGAAAATGGAGTTGTGGGCCCTCGGCCCTCGGAGCAGCTGGTAAGGGGGAAGAGAGAGACTAATGGGCTAGGCTGAGGGCCTGCCAGACCCCACTCCACCAGCCCACCTAACCCCCCAACACCCAAACCTGATCCACAGGTTCTGTGCAGCAAGAACCCTGTCCGGCTAGACTGCTGGCAGATGACCCAGAGCCCAGTCCCTCGGCCTAGGGGTGGGAGTGGGGCTTTCCCCACCAGTACCACATACCGCTTCCTGCATCGCCTGAGCCGGGTGACTTCAGGGGGGCCAGATGGGTAACTGTGCCCCTTGGTCTTGGATGTCCGGCGCAACTTGGAGAAAGACTCAAATATGGTGGGGACTGCTCCCTCCTTTAGCCTGTGATACCCGCTGTGGGGAAAAGCAGTCCAGATGAGCTGGAGAGCAAGTGCTGCCTCCCCAGGCCAATCTGCCCCCAGCACTCCGGAGCAGCTTCCCCAGCACCAGCGCCGTGGGAGGCTGGAAAGCATCGTGCAAACAGTTAAGTCTCGGGGATGGCAAGTTAGAGCTGCACCAATCGCTCCCCTGCAGTACTCCTCAGAGTCGAGGTGTATGGAAAGCCTGCACAAGCAGAGCTGGGAATTCTTTGACCTGTGGACTCGCTGGCAGGACGGGGGCTCTGAAGAACACGCTCTGGAAAGGCTCAGGTTTTCCCCTTGTGTCACTGGCAGTGATCCTGGGGGTGGGTTTCACTGTACAGAGCTGGGAAGAGGAAACAGCCCCCTTGGAAGCAGGTCGGCCTGCCTGGCAGGCTGCTCAAGGGACTTCCGGGACCTGCAGCTGCCCCGATCCGCCTGAAGCCCCACATCCTACCCCCGTGCTGGCTGGCAGGGAGGCCCACCTGATTCCCACCAGCTCAAAGCAGTTCTCCTCAAAGTGTTTGGAGCAGAAGTAGATGTACTCGGATGCGGGGTCCCACAGGCCCTGGCCGCTGGGGTCCAGCCGCTGGCAGTTGGCCAACCACAAGCCTCGCCTCGGGTTGTCCTTCTTGGGAAGTCTGTGGAGCCACAAACCCGTGAGCAGTAGACTGTCCGCAGCCCGGGGCTCAGGCTGCCCAAGCTCCCCGCCGGGGAAAAGCAGACCCAACACGCGCCGCCACGAGACCTCCCTGCGACCCCGCCGGGCAAGCACCACCCGCCCGGGCACAGACGAGGCAATGGAGGCCTAGAGAAAAGCAGGTTGCTCAGCGGCATCTGGCAGGTAAGAGTCAGGGCGGGGCGGGTCCAAGGCTGGACTTCCCGTTCTCCCCTTCCCGACAGCACCTGGCCCCGCAGGGACCATCCCGCTTCACTTCCCACCCACAGGTTCAAGGTTCCTCAGGACCCGAGAAAGGCGCGAAGCGTCTACGCAACTGCGGCCCAACGAGGCGAGCAGCAACCAGCGCATGCGCACGTCAGCCCGCGCACGCGCGCCGACCTGTGGAAGGAGATGCCGCGGCTGCGCGTCTCGCGCGTGTCCCGTGTGCAGCAGCCGGCGGCGGAGCAGTGACGCGGCATCTAGGGAAGAGGCGGGAGGTAAGTCGCGAGCGGCTGTCTGGGGATCCAGAGGAGCCTCGCGCCTGCAGCCGCCGCTCCTCCCCGGGGCGTGGGGGGCTCTGACCCGTCGAGTCTCCCCCGGCTCCCGGCCTGTTCTCGCCCGACCCCGTCCCAGCCGGTTCTCTAGACTCCCGTCAGCGGCACTCACGATCTGGCCATTGCTGCGCCGCCGAAGTAGCCGAAGTCTCGCGAGGGGTGGCGCGCGCCGGAAGTTGATACCATAGAGACTGGAAAGTCGGCGGAGAGGCCCGTAGGGCTGGGCGCGGCGGGGCGCGGCAGGGCGGGGCGGGGCGGGGCGGGGCGGGGCGGGGCGGGGCGGAGTCCTAGTGGCTTGGATTCGGAAGTGGTGCGGGCGTGCGAGTTCTAGTCTCGCCTGCGTCGTCTCCGTACCCAGACTGCCAGTTCATCCGTTCAGGGCTCACTCTTCTCTGTAAACACCCCGGCACGATGGAGCGGCCCCAGGGTACGGGTCGGCCCGGGAGCGGAAGGCGGCAGTGCCCTGGGAGCCTCGAAAGCTGCGGGGGCGACAGATCGCCTCGGAAAGACTTGACTGAAAAAAGAAAACGGGGCCTGGGACGCTTGCCCAAGAGAACCCGACAGAAACCAGAGCCTGCACTCACTGCCGTGTACCGGGGGACTTGAGGGAGGGCGAAGAATGCCCCTGACTACACTGGGGACGTGCGCCGGGCAGGAGGTTTCATTGTAGCCACCTTCGGGGCGCGACGGAGTCGGGAAGAAGCTGAGGATGCGGGTGGAAAGGCAGCGTCGGGAGCTACTGTGCTCAACCTGCGGAGTCCTTGGACACATGACCCGGCGGGCTGCCCAACCTGAGCCTTCACCTCTTTCCCTAAGACTCAGTGAAAATAGCCACTCCATTTAAGGACTTCAGAAGGTTTAAATGTAAAATAATAGGCCAGGCGCTGTGCCTCACCCCTGTTAATCCCAGCGTTTTGGGAGACTGAGGTGGGCGCATCACGAAGTCAGGAGATCGAGACCATCCTGGCCAACATGGTGAAAACCCGTCTCTGCTAAAAATACAGTAATAATAATGATAGTAATAATCGGGTGTGGCGGCATGTGCCTGTAGTTCCAGCCACTCCGGAGGCTGAGGCAGGAGAATCACTTGAACCTGGGAGGCAGAGGCTGCAGTGAGCAGTCATCGAGTCTGGAGTGCACTGGTATAATCTTGGCTCACTGCAACCTCCGCTGCCTAAGCTCAAGTGATCCTCCCACCTCAGCCTCCCATTGTGTTGGGATTACAGGTGTGAGCCATCACACCTGGCCCTTTTCCTATATTAAAAAAGAAAAAAATTGACCTGAGACATGAGAGACCATGGCAGGAGGATCACTTGAGTCCAAAAGTTTGAAAGCAGCCTAAGCAACGTAGCAAGACCCCCATCTCTAAAAAAAAAAAACAAAACGTAGCCAGGTATGGTGACCTGCACCTGTACTTTCAGCTACTTCAGGAGCTTAGGCAGGAGGACCACTTGAGCCAAGGCATTTGAGACTGCACTGAGCTATGATCACACCACTGCACTGCAGCTGGGTCAAAGAGTGAGACCTCGCTGGGCCTGGTGGCTCACGCCTGTAATCCTAGCACTTTGGGAGGCCAAGGTGGGTGAATCACCTGAGGTTGGGAGTTGGAGACCAGCCTGACTGACATGGAGAAACCCCGTTTTTACTAAAAATGTGAAAATTATCTGGGTGTACGGGCAGGCCCCTGTAATTTCAGCTACTCAGGAGCTACTCAAGCAGGAGAATCACTTGAACCTGGGAGATGGAGGTTGCTGAGATCAGGTCATTGCACTCCAGCCTAAATGAAAGAGTGAGACTCTGTCTCAGAAAAAGAAAAAAAAAAAGGAGATTACAGTACCTCACAGGGCTGTTGGGAGGATCAGAAACGAGGTTGATAAAGTGCTTTTACAGAGAAGTCCAGCAGTTCCAGCGTAGAGGCTGATTGTTCAGGACAGAATTGAGGAGACCAAAGCAGCCTTCACTTAGCATGAAATTCCTGGACACCTGAGAAACACACACAAAGCTATGAGAAGCCGAATCTGGGTAAGCTGGAGAGCAACGTCAAAGGGAAGGAAGGGCTCCTCATCTCTGAGGACACAGCTACTATGGCCCCACTGTTTCAGCTGAGAAGGTGTCTCTGTCAGACAGAATGAATGCCCTGGTGAGGCTGCTGGGCCAGGGGAGAGCGGAAGAAGGGAGAGGCTGCTGACAGATAACAGACACACAAGACACCATACCTTCAAGAGCTTGCCTGCTGGGGAGAGGGTAAGGAAAGGAAGCATCATGAAATGCGGCGTGATCAGTGCAGTGAGCGGGTGTGCTCCAGCTCCCCTGGGAGGGGAGGAAATCCCCGAGCTGGGGTCCCCAAGTGAGGTGGGTGGAGCTGGACACTTCAGCAAGAACAGCAGAGGGGCAAAGGATGGGGTGAAAAATAGTACTGTGTGTGTGTACTCTGAGCTTGGGGTGAGAGCACTGAATTTGGGAAGAGGAGCTGGCAGAGCCCAGATCTCCCACGGTGCACTCAAAGCTTGAGTTTATCCAGAGGGAATAAAACTCCCAACAGTTTTAAGGCAGGGCATGTTTCTGGTTTAGAAAGGTCACTGGGTAGCAGGTGGGAAGGAAGGACTGCAGCCAGGAACCCTGCAAGTTCACAGAAGCTGAGAGGGGAAGTGAGAAGAGGGAGGAGCCAGCAGGGGGAGCTCCTGCAGGAGGTGGGAGTGAGGGTGCGGGAAAGGGAGGGGAGGGCAAGCTCTGGGCCCCAGCTAGTGACCTGGGGGAAAAGGGTCCCCCCCAACCAGGAGGCAGCCCTTAGAGGGGGGTGATATATTCAGGTTGGACTCTCACATTCTCACGTGACTTTGGGACATTTAGAGGAATGTCTACCAGGCGGCTGGAAACACAGGTCTATGTTTCAGAGAGGTCCGGGTTCCTGTGGGGCAGGGAGCAAGGGAGGAGAGCTATGGGAGAAGCCCAGGGAAGGCTGGGGTGGGGAGCTGAGGGATGGCAGAGCTGGATGTCCACCCAGCTGGCGATACTGTCCCTTAGCACGTACCTGATGTGGGTACAGTGGTCCCCTGGGGACCTGCTCCCGCCTCGCCTGGCTCCCTTCCCTGTCTGTCTTCTGCTCCCTGTCCTGCTTAGCACTCCCTCCCCATCTGCAAACCTGGAGGAAGGAACCCCACCTGGGTGCACCAGGCCTCAGTTCAGCCTGAGCAGTGGCCAACAGAACACCTGGGTGGGGCCAGGGTCCCAGCAAGGCCAGGGAAAGGCAGGGAAGAAGATGAGGGAGACACAAGGGGTGCCCAGCCACCTTCAGAGCAGCACCCCAGCCGGCAGAGAAGGAAGGGCAGCAAGAAGGTGTAGGGGAGAGGCTGGGAGGGAAGGAAGGGGAGAGGAGGAGGGCCAGGCCCCAGGTGCAGGGTGAGCGGCAAGGGAGGGAGCCTGTGTGCACCTGCTGGCTGCCCCTGGGTGGGGGCCATGACGCAGGGATCTGTGTGGGCTGCTACAGGGCCCGTCTATGCTGAGGTCTTGGCCATCAGGCTAGCACTCACTACCAGAATCCTCAGCGTCTGGTTGACCTGGAGGCCCAGGCCCAGGCTCAGGGCTCCCATCGCAGAGACGCGGTTGTTGCTGCAGCAAAGACAACAGACACCTGCGTTGTGCAAGCTTCCCAGCAGCTGTGCAGAGCCCACTGCCCCGGGTGCCCACTGGAGCTGCCACTGCAGCCACCAGGTTGGGTCTCTTGTTCCAGCCCTCCACTCACACCCCGGGAACCCTGGGCAGGTCAACGTGTAAAAGGTGGAGATGACACCGTTCAGAGGGATCACGCAGCAAACACGCCTACCACGTCCCTGTCCTGGTGGACACCAGCTGCTGCTCCCTGACCCTCTGTGAGCTCTGCAGGGGCTCCCATGTGCTCTGCCCAGCTGGCACCTCATGCCTATCACCATGACAATGTCTATTTAAAAAAAAAATCACCTAGCTTCTGTCCAAGGCCTCTCTACCTCCTGCTGTTCCCGAACTCCAGGCCTTAGCACTGCCCTGGGCCACTCTGTCTCCAGAGCCAGCCCCATTTCTCTTTCACTTCTCAGACCCCAGCTCCGGCTGCACCTCCATTTTCAGCCTCTGGGGCCGCCACCACACCAGGCTAATTTTTGCATTTTTAGTAGAGAACAGATTTTCACCATGTTGGCCAGGCTGGTCTCGAACTCCGGACCTCAGGTGACCTGCCTGCTTCGGCCTCCCAAAGTGCTGAGATTACAGGCGTGAGCCACCACACCGGGCCTATTGTACATTTTAGAATAACTGAGGAAGTACAAATGGAATATTCATAACACAAGTGATGAATGCTTGAGGTGATGGTTACCCCATTTACCCTGATGTGATTATTGCACCCTATATTCTTGTATCAAAATATCCTGGCTGGGCACGGTGGCTGACCCTATAATCCCAGCACTTTGGGAGGCCGAGGCGGGTGGATCACGAGGTCAAGAGATCGAGACCATCCTGGTCAATATGGTGAAACCCCGTCTCTACTAAAAATACAAAAGTTAGCTGGGCATGGTGGTGCATGCCTGTAGTCCCAGCTACTCGGGAGGCTGAGGCAGAAGAATCGCTTGAACCCAGGAGGCAGAGGTTGCGGTGAGCCGAGATCGTGCCATTGCACTCCAGCCTGGGTAACAAGAGTGAGAGTGAAACTCTGTCTCAAAAAAAAAAAAAAAAAAAAAGTCTTATGTACTCCATAAGTATATATGCACCCATAAAAATTAAAAGTATTTATGTACCCATAAAAATTAAAAATTAATTCCGATCCGGTTGCATAGTTGATAGTATGGGCATTGCAAACAAAAAATTAAAAATTATGAAATTGTGAGACCCTGTCTCAAAAAAATAAAAAAACAAAATAGAGAAAGGAAGGTAGGCAGTGTGGAGAAGAAACCCTGAGGGATATTGAGAAAGTAAAATGAGCATAACAACACCCACCCGTCCCACTCTTCGTTCTCTGTCAGCACTTAGCCAGTCTGACTTTTTTTTTTTGAGACAGAGTCTTGCTCTGTTGCCCACACTGGAGTACAATGACACGATCTTGGCTCACTGCAGCCTCTGCCTCCTGAGTTCAAGTGATTCTCCTGCCTCAGCATTCTGAGTAGCTGGGATTACAGGTGCCCACCACCACACCCAGCTAATTTTTGCA